GAGGGTTCAGCCTCCTGATGAGTCGGTGAAACTCCGACGAAACAGTTTGTCACAGCCCCTCGTTTGTTGCCCTCTTCTCTCTCTCTGCCTACGGTTTACCGGGCAGGTCTGTTTGTGACGATATATATATATATATACCAGCGGCGTGTCTGGAGTGTATTTTTTGGCTGTGACAGACCTTTCTTTGTTGTGTGGGTGTTTTGCTTGCTTGTGATGGGGTGTGAACGGAAAGTTTGTAGAGTTTTCCATCTGGTGTGGGTGAGTGATAGTCTGCTTTGACTTGAGGGCAGTGGTTGGTGGGGGTAACAGTTGACGGGCAGTCGTTGATGCTCAACCACAACCGAATGGGGTTAAGGGTGGATTATCACTTACAGTGTAATCAGTTAGGGGATTCTGCAGACTGTTGAGGGTTCAGCCTCCTCCAGGATTCTGCAGACTGTTGAGGGTTCAGCCTCCTCCTGATGAATAGGGAGGTGAAACTCCGACGAAACAGTTTGCCACGGCCCCTCGTTTGTTGTCCTCTTCTCTTCTTCCTCTCTGCCTACGGTTTACCGGGCAGCTCTGTTTGACAATATATATATATATATATATATACAGCCTCCTGATGAGTGGGTGAAACTCCGACGAAACAGTTTGTCACAGCCCCTCGTTTGTTGTCCTCCTCTCTGCCTACGGTTTACCGGGCAGTTCTGTTTGTGACGATATATAGATATACCACTTGCACTACCATCAAAGAGTTGGCTTATATATGTATTTCCTGTCACGCAGGCTCCGTCTATTGCTATATATCTCATCAATATGGCATACGGGGGGGATGGAATGGGTAGCAGTGTGTCCATACTTATCAAATTAAACACGATCATTTGAAGATTCCATTCTCTAATAGGAGTTTTATTTAAGATAAGGATCCCCTGATTTATTCTCCCATCACCAGAAGGAAAGAATTTAGTAATTAATAATTACGGAGTCATACGGACATAATAGGGGATGCCAAGACTGTGATCGTACCCAAGAGCCTAGTAGCTCAGTGGGGACCACACCCATGAACTGTTGAAATACAGACCAGGTGCTGTGTTCGAATCCAGATGATGGAACTTTACGAGTAAAAACCAACTACTAATGAATTGCCTGGGGACGGTCAGCTCAATGATCGTGAACGGTACATGTATTCAATTCTGTGTTGTGTTTGGCAACGGAGACGTGCTTTGTGAATCTATCTTTCTTCGCTCCTCGAGCTTAATGCACAAAATACTTTTGGTGCCCCTGGCTTAGGAAGGGCTCGTTCCGACCCACGTCGAAGGCGGTCATTTATGAGAGTGCTGAAGCCCCCACCCATGCATGTACTCGTATATTAGTGTGGACCTAGGCTACCAGAGTGGCCCGGGGTCACTTGCCCGACCGGGCCAAAAACAATAAAAATAATAAAAATAAAATAATAAAAATAAATATTTTTAAATTTTTATTTTTTATTCTAAATTTGGTGCCAAATTTCCATGTGACCCTGAGGCAAAAGTTGTTCAGTTTATTTTTTTTTATTTTTTTTCTACACAATGTTCTTCTCTCAAATTCTTTTTCGCCTTTCACTACCTTCCTACCACTACTCCTAAAATTATATAGAGGGGACCCCTGCAAGCCTAGGGCCTCGCAAACGAGGTAATTCATGTTGGCCCCCACCCGAACAGCGGTAGTCAGAGATGGGGTGGGGCCGCCGGTGGGGGTCCGGCTAACGCAAAGACCGAGCATTTTGCCAGTAGCTGCGCCTCCCTTTCTCATCGTCCCCCGCCCCTCATCGAGTAGCAGCAGAGGCTATGGCCAACACTCTCCCACACAC